CTTACTCTCTCAAGGCTGGTCTCATTCAGTCCTGAGAAATGCCCCTGGGGGAGCAGGGCAGCCTTCTTTCCAGAACGGTAGCTGGTGATTGAACCCAAATGGGCAAATGATCTGTCTTTTGTGCTTATCCAACAGGATTCATACCAAGTTTTGGCAATATTATTTAATTTGTATTATATTCTGTTAAATTATGTTTTTCTTGTTGCTTAATTTTTTGCAGCAAGCTTTGGAGGAGAGATCAAGTTTACAGTCATTAAATGCCCAGCTTCAACACAAATTGGCTGAGTATTTCAAGAAGAAAAAGGTATAATATTTTTTGAAGATACGTTATCAGGAAAAGAGTTTTGAGAAAGTTCCAAGCAAAATTTGAATCCTGAACCAAAATTACTTGTTATTGGTTATATTATATTTGCTTTCAGAGTGATGAGCGTCAGCAAGAGATAGAAAAGAATGTAACTGACCAAGAACAAAGATATCTCAAATATATGTGTAAGTGTTAAAAGCAGAAATTTAAAGTTTGATGAGGATTTGGGGTTCCATTAGGGGGGTGTCTGAGTGTCCCACATCCTATTAATCTTTGGTCTAAATTCCTACATCCTGTTACTTCCAGTATGGCAAAACTTTATAACTATATCCCATTTTATTTGATCTGAATATCTCCATTTATTTACCCCCAAATTTCCGGTATTCTGCAATTTTGTTGACCTTAATATATCCCATATTCTGAAAACCCCTAATAAGACCTTATAATTTGTTCAAACTGCTCAGCTCATTTAGTTATTCTTATTCTGAGTAGTATTTTTGCCTATTTAAGTAATATTATTTTGTTTTATGTTGAACTGTAATATTTATCTTTGGCAAAATAAAATGGTTGTGGTTGTTGCTAATATTTGCCTGTGTATTTTGGTGGTTTAGTTTTTTGTGTAATGAGGCTTAATGAAGTTTAGGCAAAGTTAAAAGTACATCCTCGTGCAATACTATCGAACACATGAAAAGCATGTAAAAGATGTACATGATGTCTGAATTTATGGCAAAAACCAGGATTGTATTTGTTAAATGTAGCTTAAAGTATCTGTGCTTAAAAAGGGATTTCAACCCTTCTCCCCCTTGCTACCCTCTCCTTCCATTCAGTCTATTAGGCCATTGTGCTGTTTATGTACAGCATAGCTAATGAATGTCTGTTTGTTGTGTTAGCAAATCTTGAAGAACTTCAGAATGAAGAAAGACGCGAAAAGGAAAATTACAAGGACCAGATTGAGGATTTGAAAGCAAAATGTCAAGAAAAACAAGAAATTGTCAACAGATCCAGGTTTGTTTAATGTACTCTTGCATTGCAGAAATATAACTGAACAGCTACAAAACCGGCTGCTGTTTGGGAAAGGAGTCTGCACTCCCCACCCCACCCCCCACACCCGAAGGCAAGAACGTAAACTGTACTTGAGAGAGCAGCGGAAATCGAGTCTACAAAAGATGAGGACTACTTGTTATAAATGTTTGCTTCATGCAGCGTGTGATTGTTTTTCAGTGACAACTTTATGATGTTCAAGAATGATGTTGCAAAACAGGCAATCAACAGCCGATCTGGAAAACCCATTTCACCGAAGGTTAGTTGCTAAATCAATAAGTTTTTATCTTTAATATTGTTGGTGACAAATTACTCCTTAATTTTGGATCAAAATTTCAGCATTAATATCTATACCATGGCAACATTTGGCGCCAAATTTCTCGATACAATAAACAAGTGAAAAACCCACAATTGTAAGCATAATTTGTTGCCCATGACATTGAAAGGTATTTAGGCTCAGGAAATTATTGTAATTTTTCAAATAATTTTGAAATTATTTTGTAATGTCACTCATCACTATTTGATTACAAATACTAATTTCCTTGACAATAATAATCCAAGGACAATAAAAATGGAGAATTTAGAACCTTCTCTCTCTGGAAATCAAACTGTGAATCATGTTGAACTTAACTCATTCATTACATGTGCAGACTATGTCACTAAAAGCTGTTTTGCAGTGAGCGTTTCCACATAATATCTGCTATCATTCTTACTGTAATATATTTCTGTAACTCTTTGATCTCTTTAATAGGATCTTGAACAATACCAGATGTTAGAGCTAAAGAAAGAACAAGAAGTCATGCAGGTAATAACACATTCTTTAAATTGTAAAAAAAACTATGCTCAGTTTTCGTCTTCATACTAATAATTAACTTACATGAACTTGCAACGCAGTCGTAGAATGGTTGTCTTTCCTTGACTACACTTCGTTCAAGCGTTCCCGATAAAAACTCTTTTGCTTATCGTGATGGCAAAAAGGTCTGGTTTGTTCATGTCAACTTTTAAGATATGTTAATGGTTGTGATGGTTAATTTGTGTTGCAATGTTATCTTTTAAGGTTCGGCTGGAGAATATTAAACTGAAAAACCGACTGAAAAAGAGAGAGATGCAGTTGAAAGCTAAGGTGATTGTTTATTTCAATTTTTAGGTGTGTAACTAATAATGTCCCGTAAGTTTCCTTCTCACCCGAACAAATACTGTTATCTGTTTTCACTTTTACATGCTACCTGGTTTTGTAAATCAAAACCAAATCACGGCTGAAGCATGAAGCATGAAGCATGAAGCAAAAATGGCCTGTTAAACCAAGGAAAAATATGTAAAAATACAACAAACTATAATGAAACATTAATAAGAACTAACTGGAAAGTGTTTCATGACTAAAACGTTTCATTGAAAAAACATAAGCATGCTTATTGAGCACAATTGACCGTAACTTTCACGCTAGTCAACTTCACGTAGTTTTAACCGACAAACAATGTTGCTGAAAAATTGCCTGGCGTAACACACCCTGACACGAACGCTTCCGCAAGCATTACACGAAGCAGAATTAATTTCTACTTTTCGCAACGTTTGTAACCAGCGCAGCGAACGTTCCCTCGCGAACGAAAGAGCTTTGGTGCTTTCGTCCCAACTCCGGACTTCGCTCGAACATGAACGCTTGCTACTGAGGCTACATGTACAAAGATCATGGCAATACTGCAATACTTTTGTGCACTTTTTGTGGCTTTTATAAACCTTCAGAACAGTAACTGATTTGAAATAAAAATCTTTTGGTTATAGTTTGTGGTAGCAATTGTTTACATTCATTTTATTGTGTTTCCAGGAGGAGCTAGCTGAGGGACTTCACCTAATAGACTTTGAACAGCTCAAGATTGAAAACCAGACTTACAACGAGAAGATTGAAGAGAGAAATGAGGTTAGTATGGCGCCTAAAAGTGCAGCCAGTCAAGCGCGTGAAAATGAGTCGCTTGTTTTTGGGTTTACTCCTGATTGGTTGAGAAAACGGCATGTTCACGCTGATTGGTGAAAGTATGTTGCACAGTTTTTCTTACCATTCTTGCATTTCACTAACCTTTATGGCGACACTTTGTACCTAGGCGCCTTGGCCTTTTAGCAGACAGGTCTTTGCCCCTTTCAACCCTCTCCCCTCCCTCTAAAAAGACATTCCGCTTGAGAAAATTGAAAATCGGACAGTCCCACACGAAAGCACTACCCAATATCTTTTTTTGATAAGTCACACATTAGAGTTTCAACCATGCACAGACTAAAAATAAAACCTTGTACAGCATAGTGAACGGAAAAACATTAAAAGTTCTGCTCAGTAGTTTTCATTTGAATGGTCACACACAAGGGTTTCATCCACAGACTTTTAAGTTAGAACCCTGCAATTTGCACAGCGTAGGAAGCAATTCCACATGGAAGAGCTGCTCAATACCATTTATTCAAATACAGCCTCCTTCACACACGTTTTCCAGAAGAGAAGAGGTTCATTCAACCCTCCGGTTTTGTTGTGCTTTAGGAGCTGTTAAAACTTCGTAAGAAGATCACGACCACAGTACAAGTTCTAACTCATCTGAAAGAGAAGTTGCAATTTGTACAGGCTGAGAACAGTGAACAACGAAGCAACCTAAGAACAGTGGAGGCCCATGCTGCACAGGTGGGTCATTTGAGAGAAGAGTTTGTAAACGCTGGTCTTGCTGTTCAAGATGGGCTGTATTGTGTTGAGTTTTTGGTTAAACACTGTTTTGCTGCTCGGGGCTCAGTTATAAATTATTTGTGTAGTTATATCATCTGCGCCTTGAAATTAGTTGCTAGGGCAGCAAATAGGCTCCTATGCAGGTAGGCTTAGCAGCTAGTGGCATAACTTAATTTTTCTAATAAAATTCCAGTTAAAAACTGACAAAGAAAAAAAAATCAATGACATACATACACAAGTCATACGGGAAACGTTCTATCACAAATCAGTTAATCGGATTTTTTATTCTTATTTCTCTGTCCTTTCCCTTTATAGAAACGAGACATCTTAACAAGGACGAAGCAAGTTAGAGACGCGCTGAGAATAGAAAATGTCAAACTCAGGCAAAAGTGTGGCCTTCTTGGAAACGAGCCTTTACTAAGAGACTACGAACAACGAAAGGAGCAGGTAGTTATAAATAAAACGCGCTCAGTTCTTATGAGATTCTGTTGAAACACTCCAAACTGATGACGAAGCTGTTTCTGGTTGGCTGTTATTTGCGCGGGAAAATACAAAACCTAGCAACAACCAACCAGAGGAACTGTGCAGATCTACTTAGAGCTTCGTCATCAACATGGAATGTTTCGGGTCTATTCTCACACGGTTCTCGAGCCGGGAAAGTTATGAATAGCGCTTCTCTCTTTATTTGAACATCTAATCTGTCGAAATCTTGGCCTAGTTTCTAATTTTTTTTTTTAATTACCTTACAATTTATACTAAGAAGGGAAGTCTCTGAATTTTTTTTTTTGTTTGTAGAGCGACGAACTTCGAGCGAAGATAGAGCGGTTGAAGATGGATCACGCTGAACTCACAATGAACTGCAGTGGAGTACGAACAAAAATCGAAGGAGCAAGACAAGAAGAAAAACCGCTTTAGAGTTTAGTCTAGTTTATATGTTAAAAATCCTTTAGAATCTTATTGTATATACTGATACATTCTTATTTTATTGTAAATTCACCTTCGTTCAGGCTAGTGTCTAGAGCAACAGAAATCGTACATGTGTATAAAAAATTTGGTAATGTTTTCATCCGTTGTTTATTGTTGTAAATATTTCTTTTATAATTGTGATATCTTCTTTCACCGATGTAAATGTACAAGGAAATATAAAGTTTGTATCACAATAAAACTTGAACATTTATGTTCTTAAATAAACAGTTATGGGCAAAATATTCTCAGGCGCCCTCCACGCTGCGCCGGAGGAATTTAAAAACGCAGCTTTCTTTCTCTGGTTAGGCCTTTCGTCCACACCAATCCGTCACGGAAACGGAGCTTTCCGAAAACGCTCTTCAAACCGGAGCCGGGAATTTAAAAACACCGGCTTTGCGTTGTGCGGACAGAAAACATTTCGAAAACGACGAGGTTACAATAATCATATGATTTCCCTGCTCGAGTTTTACTTAAACACAAATCCCAATAGCCGGTGATTGTTGCGTTTTGGAATTTCTCCGGCGTAGTGTGGACGGAACACATTTGATGCGTTTTCAGAGTGAAACCTGCGTTTTCAAATTCCTCTGGCGTAGGGGTGCGTACCCCTCCCTGGGATGAAGTCTTCTTTGTATTCACGTTAAAAATTTGTTCACCTCGCCAGTGAGTTATGCCATTCCTTAGTGAGTGCTAGTGGCGCACCCCCTCCTTATAAAAATCCTGGGTCCACCCCTGCAATTGAGTAGTCTGTGTGCGGCCGCCACTGTTGGCCTTGTTTTTCTGCTCGTAGACCAACAATTGAGTTCTTGGTACTAGAACATGTATCGCCTCTGGCCACTTGAATAACAGATCACAGAGGTAAAAAAGGAATGCTGACATTCAGTTCACGGTTCACCTTTCATGTTCACGTTTCGCGCAAATCAGTGCCCCGGGCGTTTAGTTGAAATTAGACTAAAAAAGGTTCTTCAAAAGCAAAGTCTGAGGGAAAAAAATGGGCGAATTTTCTACAGGCTATTTACAATCCCTTCACCGTCACTTTAAACGATGCAGGAAGGTTACATGGCTAAGAGGGGTCCTAAGATTGAGGGAGAGCGGGAATGCGAGAAGCAGTTTTCGCCTCCCCTTCCCAGTGTATGCCTGCAACACAGGCTAGGAAATTAAAATTGGCGCTGTTGTCAAGCGGGGCTGATGATGGCAGTGAAGTGGACGTGTATTATTTCATCCTGTCTTATCGAACCTACAACGCTACCACGAGCAACAAGATGTAAGAGGAGAACTCAATACTCGAAAACGAAGCACTCAAAACACGAAAATGAAGAACCGGCATCTCGAAAACGAAACACTCAAAAGACAAATCGAAAAACGAAGAGGCTTCAACTCGATATTAAATAAACAGCCCTCCCAGGAGGACCCTGTGAGAACTCGAAAACGAAGTGTGAATTTGTTGAAAGCCAGCAAACTGCCCGGGCAAACTGCATGACTTGAACAGAACGCATCCATTCTCGAATGCTTTTCCTTTTATTGCGAATGCAATCTAAATCTCGATCTCACGCTAGAAACGATTATTTTTCATGTATTAGAATTCGTTTTTATTTTGTTATTTATTCCTGAAGGGCACGGCTGAAATTCAGGCATGGAGCAATCACAGCAAGTAGAAGCGCGCCCTTTTGGCGCCAAAATCCTCTTTGAAATGTGCGTGCGCAATTCTATCCCAAAAGGATCTGGGACTCAGGAAATGTCACTACTCCGTAAACGTTCATTTCAGCGAGCACGCAGCGAGGATTGTCGTGTTTTTTATGTGGTTCTTATCCCAATAAGTCTCTCGAAACCTTTCGAGAACTGTTATTAGGGTCATCAAGATGGATTAACCCCAGTATTTCTTTCCAACGTAACCGTAAAGTTGTTGATCATTCGCGTGAGTTTCATCTCCGACGTGCGGTTTTGTATTTCGAAAAATGTCCGGGGTTATTGGGAATATGCAAGCAGACAGTGTAAGATCACGATCTTACGAATCCATCAACACAAAGGTAACTAGCTTAACTGAGAAAAGAGACTTTTCTTTAAGATTATTACTTTGAAAATCTCTAAACAACTGCTTAGCGTTCTGAAATGCAGTCACCGAGGGACATCTTACGTACTCATTGAGTTAGGGAAGGCAGATGGCTTCAGATCGGGTTGAAAACCTTAATTTATATCAGCTTAAAATTAGGTTTATTCAATCTTGTTGATTTAGCGTGTACTGTGGTATTTGGAATTATATTTTCAACACTGAGTGACTTTTTACGCTAACTTAATGTTGCCCCATTCACGATTCTTCTTTATTTTAACGCAATCGAAAATAAACGTCGAAATTTTTCAAGATCATCGATCTCAGAATAATTCAGCATGCTGGCATGCATTGTCTGCATAATTAATGATATTTTTTATTTGGGTACAAGTTTCATTTTCTCCACTTCATTCAGTGAATGGAGCCATGAAAAATAAAACCACATGGTTTTAATTCGAATCCTACAATACTATGATGAAGCGAGGAAGCTCAAAGTGAAGGGATAAGGCTTAGTAATTTTCTCCATCACTCATTTATTTAGTAAATTAGCAGCTATGAAACCCACACAGCGGTCAAATGCAAGAGATATTATAATAGGGACTCGCCTGAAAGCGCCGTTGGGCTATTTCTTCGTCCATCTCTTAGTAGATTTCCAAATAAACTGTTTCTATACTTGTGGAATCTTTTATTTTCTGTAGTTCCCAGTATACACTGTATTCAACTCAAGTCTTAATGTTAAAGTTACCTGTGACATTTATGTTTTGAATTTGAATGGTGTGATCGTTTTCAACCAGTTAAAAAATATATATATTTAACCCTGTAACAGGTAAACAGTTACTGCAATTGAAAGTTTGATAAATTAGTCATCGTGGATTTTTTCCCTTTTGATTTGCTTTGATCAACAGATGAACTGTAACCATCAACATATCAGAAAATCATACTAACATTGTTTTGAAGACAAAACATCCTCTTTAAAAACATTTGCACTTACTACCATTATAAAAGAAGGGGGTCTTTAACTTGCTTTGTGGTACCATGTAAAACAATTTATACCTCAGAGTTTTTAATGAATTTCCAAGGCAATAATTTTGGCAGAACTTCTAGTATCTGTAGAGAAAGCTTGTGGTTTAGGTGACAAATTATTTATTTCTGTGTCTCACACAGCTAATTATGGTGTCCCTAATAGTACAATTAAAATATAAATATCTTTCTTTTAGGCACGCATGGAAACCACTTTTGGAACATCTGCTTTTTCTCCTGTGACAACAATAACACGAGGTAATATTAGAAAAATACCAAAAACTAAACTTTCAATTTCACAATGTCATTTCACTTTCACTAAGACTCTGTACATGAGGTAGAATAACAGTGGCTGGAGTGATGTGTCAGTGGGTACATAAAGTACCTGATGTTCATCAGCTAATTTCTGGCAAAGGATCCGAATCTCCTCAATCACAATTTGGATGCCTTAATTGTTCCACCTCTGCAATTTAATGTTCATGTAATGTTATACAACAAAACAGACATTAATGCCCAGTAAATAAGCGTTGAGAATTTTTACAAGCCATTGATTGAAGCACGGAAAAAGTTAAGTATGTAAAATAATTATTGGAAAAGGAATTCTTGAAAGGGTAAAGTAAAAGGCTCTTAAAAATAGATCTCATAGACTGGAAGTGCGTGGCTTGTCACATCAGACACTGACTCTATGCATGAAGTGGTGGAGAGTTAGGTTTTCTCAATTTATTGAATGCCATTTATTGAATATTGTTTCTAATTTTCATTTCAGTTGATAGTGAACGTGATGCTTCCCTTAAGAGGAATTCTGCTAGTATGACATGTGTCTCCTCAAGTAATAGCACAAGCTTAGGTAGAGAATGCGACATAAATGGTGCAGTTGGTTCAGATCAGGTAAACACGTTTTTGAATCCTTAGAATTCTAATGACTACCAGTATATACAAACCAAGGCTGGTTCTGATTTGAGACAGTTTTTAGGATTGTTTGGACTGCTAAATTTGCCAAAGGCACTTGGCAGTAGACCAATTTGAATCTGAGACAGTGCCAAGTGTGAGACAATTGTCTGAGTGCCAATGTATGTAACAATTAACATGTACTGTGCTACCCTCACAATAATGGTATGGTTACCCAAAACTAACATTGAATATTAATCTTTATTTACTGAAAACTTATTTGGTATAAACATTCATTTTTCATTAGCATTGTTAAATTATGGAATGAATTACCAAGAGATGTAGTGGAAGCTAATATACTTTCAGCAGTTTAAATCTAAGCTCAAATTGCACTTAATTATTTAATTGTAATGAAGGACCTTAATTTTAATTTTGATTTTATTGTACTTTTTAAGGNTGCTGGCAGACATCTACTTCAAATGTTATTGAAAGCACTGTGCTCTTGTTTGTTTTTAGGGAAGTTTTGATGCAGTGTGCTTTAAACGCCATCACAGAACATCATCAACAATATCCGCTCGCTCTCATCATTCCATTTCAAGTTGTACAGAGGAAGATGAAGAGGTTTGCGTGGTGTTATTTGCAAAATAATCCAAATCGTTATAGTAAGCTCATAACATGTATGTTGAATGGAGCTGCTGTCATTGAAGTTCATTTAATCAAAGCATGTTAATTTTGGTTCATGTAAAGTCGTCTGAGTAAAGTTTTGAACAGGATAAACAGTATTAATTGGCAGGCGGGCTAGACCAATAAATTTATAAGCATTCCAACACTTGCCACAGGTTATACCTCATCATATTATTAATTTTTCAAGTGAGACTTGCATAATTAATATTAAAAAACTGACAGACCAAGACTTGGACGTATACGTACATGTGTGGATTTTGAAAAGGACCTGCTAAAAGTTTAGTTATAGCTCAAATTCATTGTTACCCCTAATAATTACCAATCATATTTCCAAACATTTACAGGACCTCCCTCCAGTGAGATAAGTAGCCATCTGAGGGCATTAAAACAGTATTTTTAAAGGTGTCAATAAAATGGAGCCAGAAACTTTCCATACCCTCCCTAGGGAAGGTTTTTTTTTTTTTTTTTTTTTTGTATGAAACCCCTTCTCCCAACCCACTAGAAATTCTTGTTTAGCATTATTATTTTCTCTAAAAACTTTGGTCTTTAATGCCCCCCCTCCCCCCTCCTCCTTGCAATTTCCAGTGACCTTCCTCCTTCTTTGCACTGGGAGTGGTTATTCCTGGAGCGGCACATTAAGAAATTATGTAAATTACATGCAAATTATATGCAATATCCAACAAACTTTTGTTTTTGTGAACTTCAGGCAGTTGTGTTGTTTGTGGATGAACCATCATCAAAGCTGTTCTGCATATTGTGTCAACGAGTGTTTAAAGATCCTGTTATTACATCATGTGGGGTAAGACTGTTTTCTGCTACAAAAGTCCTCTAATGGCAGTCTGATAATTAATAAAAAATCTGGTAATTAATTTAGCGCGGAACTATGTTATTCCCTATCTCATAATGATTGAACAAGAGTATGAACGCCTAATTAAGCCTGAATCAGAATTTAAATTTGCTTTTAGGTGAGGATTGAACTCCCTTTCAGCTCTCTGTCAGTGAATGAGTTTAATTTCTTTAATTAAGGCTGGTTTTCACTAGCGACAAAGTCCACTTGGAGTTGTAGTCATAAGAGCACCTATGACCTAGTGAAAATAAAAAAATCAGAGTTGCAAGCGGTTGATTTGGGGGAATCAGAACATTTCCATTTTCTTCAGATTCCTTCCACAACTGTGGTCAATGTAAACTAAATTGTCCGAGTCCAAAGCAGAAGCGGAAGGACCTACATGTACATACCAATTATAAGGCTAGAGATCTTTTGCACTGACTATCTAGTTGTCATAAGATTTTAAGCATCACAAGCCTTGGAGTCATAAGCTTCAGATTTATTTTTGCTAAGATCATATTACTCTGTGCTTCTGATTGCATCAACAACTCTGACTGCAACTTTGTCACTTGTGAAAACCAGCATTTGGTATATTCAGCAAATTGATAAACCAAAAATTGCTTGGAATGCAACATATTTAGTTAAAAGTACTTATGAGTAGATTTTTTTACCTGTGTTTTAATTTTAAATTTTCCTTTTTGTTTTGTTTCGCTTAGCACACCTTTTGTCGAACTTGTGTTCTTTCAAGAGCATCAGAAAAGTGCCCGGTTGATGACAACAAACTCTCAATAGTTGTTGTTAACCTTGCAGTGAGTAATTCTTGTATTTTTATTTTCTATTTCAACTAATCCTGTAGTTGTCTACGCAGTGGCTAGAAGTTGGTAGGCTTGCTAATTGTATTATTATCCTTTTCTTGTCAGGTGTCTGAGCAGATTGGTGAATTGTACATCCATTGTAAATATGGCTGTAAGCTTAAGTCAACAGGATCCCCAACAGATTATGAAGTAAATCCTTCTGGGTGCCCTGTGACAGTCAAACTCTCTAACAGACAGTAAGTCATGACTCTTTGTAATTCATACTGTAAATCAATGTATGTTTGTACAACCGTGTAATAATCCACTTTTTTTTTCAGTGAACATGAGAGGATCTGTCAGTATGCTCCAACTCAGTGTCCAAACAGTTTGCAATGTCCTACTTTGCTCAAAATGGTAAATTCTTTCAAGTGCAAAGACTAGTTATTATTACATACTTTTGGTAGATGAGTTTTCCATGTAGGATTGCATACATGTATATTTTGACTGGTTAAGCGTGGCAGGTAATTTAGCAGTAAGTTATCTTTATTACATGTCCTTATAAGTACTAAATATACTTAATAAAACTATTTTTTATATGGCTTGTGTTTGTCGCCAATATCATTAACACTCTGATTGGCTCATTGTAGGGCGTTAATCTCCCTTAATGCCCACAGGCCAATTAGGGGCCTTTGAAAATAAAGCAAAAAGCCATATAATAGACAACTTATTAACGTCAAACGTTTGGTCCTTACAGGAAAATCTCAAACCTTGACCTCGCCTTATTGACCTCACTATCCCTCGGTCAATACAGCAAGGTCTCGGTTTGAGATTTTCCCGTAAAGACCTCGCTCTGAGTTAATAAGTAGTTATTAAAGGTGTTAAGGTCACTATATGAATATAGAAAATGGTCATCTGTGGGCTATGTTGCTGGAAACCTTATCACACTGATGATAATGATCATAATCTTTCTAAATCTTTTTTGTGTGAAACTTTCTCAAATAGTTAGCGTCTTTTACTGCAGGTAAGTTGAAGCAATCTTTACTTTTTCTGATGAAATGGCTATAGCTGTTGTCCTAATCCATTTCATTCATTGACACATATTCTGATTGCGTGTTCTGTGTATGTACCAGTGCACGTATTTACTGATTACTGCATAACTCTGTCAACATCAACTAGGATCTTGAAGATCATTTACAAGTTTGTGAACACATGAGATGTCCACACCAAAAATATGGGTAAGCGATTCATCAAATATGCAGATCAAATTGATTTAGACTGCTGACAGTCTGTTTTTCTCCCGAAATGAGGCAGGGATTGTGAGAAAGGCCTTTCAGACTAGAAGGGATTGGCATGAGACATGGGTGTGGCACAACCCTGGCCCTTTTTGTCCATACCACCCTTTTGTGTTCATACTCACGGGTTAACACTCATTTGACCCTTAAAGTACATGTAAAGGCTAGCTGCTGGCAGTCTAAATTGATTACAATAGGCAAATATCCCGGCTTTTCATTACACAGGTCATTTTTCATATGGGTCCAAGCCTAGAGTTTAATTTAGTGTTCAGTTTCAAAATCAGTCAAAGTTATTGTGTACTTTTACAATTTAAACATTTCTTTTGTAGCATTTTGCATTTGAAATTGTACCCTTATTTCAGCATGTTGTGGCTCCTTCTGGAGTTATCCCACAGAATTACATGTACCTGCTTGATTCCAAAGTGATATAATTATATTGTTGTTTTGTAATCTTTTAATTTTAGATGTCACATGGAGGGCAATCATAAAGAGGTTCGACTTCATCTTGAGACATGCAAGTTTGAAGCTGTCAAGGTATACTGCCATGTTTGTTAATGACAAAGAAGCATTGTACAAACGTCTTGTCTACAAATTTGATCTGTTTTCTTTTGTTCCCTCTGGCTTACATTGGTTGATATGAAAATTATTTCCAGGCCATAGTGATTACATGTAAGTCAACTGGGAACAGAATGCTATAATCATTAGCATGAAGATATTTAAGTAACGGCCATTAGTACTAGGGTGAGCGAAGCTTGTACATGTACAGATTATTATTTCCTAGTCAGACTAGTCAAAGTTACATTGTATGAAGTAAATTGCATATTTTTAACAACTTTTGGCAGGAATTTCTGCAACATACTGACAAGAGAATGGAAGAACTCAAAACAACACTGAAAGATAAAGATCAGGTAACAAACGGTACAAAAATAGGACAGTTTTCATTAAACTTCACATTTTTTTCTTCTTCTATATTCCTCAAGTAACAGCAGAAGATGAAAAAACGTTCTTGGGACTAGTGGAAATAAAAAATGCCAAACCATTTAAATTTTTAAACCCTGACAATTATATTTTTTAACCCTGTCTTTTGACCGATGTCATAATTCGTAATAAATCTAATAATACTTTAAATACATGTTCGTGTGTCTGAACAACAACCCATTTGAACTTTTTAAACTACAGTTTACTAGGTTTATTTGGTGAAATTGTTTTCAGGAAATTGTCTTTCTCAAAGCCATGATTCTGAAGTTGACAGAACGAGTTGATAGAATGGAAAAAACTGTCGACATCAGAATAGGTAAGTACGAAGCGTTATTCTTTGGTTGCATTTGTTATTGTAGTTAGGTTAAGTCTGCATACGAGCCAAGTGGCCCATTAGGCCAGAGCTTATCCCGGTTTCTGTAGCATGAAGCGACTAGGAGTATTTCTACTCCCCCCTGGATGGGATGCTAGTCCATTGCAGGGTTACCCCCAGCATTAAATTCGCTGGTATCCATTTATACACCAGGGTGGAGAGAGGCACTGAGAGTACAGTATCTTTCCCAAGAACACAATACGATATCCCCGACCAGGGTTCGAACCCGGACCGCACAATCCAGAGTTTAGCGCACTAATCATGAGGCCACCGCACCACCAATACTTTCTATCGTAATCAGTGTAAATTCATCCTGAAACTTTCTCTGTACTGTTACTTCATTAGATCTTTTGGATGAGAGCCAAACAAAGCTGTCCTCAGATTTACTGGATTCAAGGCAAAGCATTTCACAAATCCAGGTATAAAATACTTGTGTGAAATGTTTTTGTAAGGCCTGTACTATTTTTAAAGTTTTCATGTAATTATTTACGTCTGTCGAAAAATTCTCCGGCAAATTATCTTAAGACAGATATTATTTTAATTCCAAATACAAAGGTGAAAATTAGCTATCTTGGTTCACTTTCTCCGAGAAATACTTAAGCGAAAATGGAGAAAAGTTACTTTCATTTTATTTCATTATTTTGCAAAATATGGCTAAGGAACTGTACAAATGCATAGCCTGTTTCCTTGTGACTTAAAAACTCATTGTTCTCTTTCCCTTAGGCTACAGTTTCAACTTATCATTCTATAAAAACACTTACTGACACGTTTAAAGGATTTTTTTTTGTATAACTGTGAGGGCCAATCTTTTCTTTTCTTGTGTTGAACAGACTGACTTGGCAAATGTAGAGGCGAGGCTGTGGGGTGTTGGAAGTAAGTCATATATCGTTTATTTTTGTTTTTCGTTTGCGCAACCTACCCAAACTTTGGAGCTCAAGCCAGAAATCTCAGTATGACAATTCTATTTCTAGGAAATAACACTATCTTGGTTGAAGTAATTTTTAGTAATGTGTGTATTTTCTTTCAGCGTTCGATATCCAGCCGTTATTCAAGTGCAAAGGAACTTTTGTTGGTCACCAGGTAAATATTGTAAAAGTAGCGTTGATTTTAATACCTTGGCATTACAACAGAAGGTATTAATTCTCTAACTTGCCACAACTTTCCATCAAAAAGAAATATGCCTCATCCATTCTTACCTAGAGTAATAACGGACACCATATTCCCTTCTACTCTCTAGGGTCCCGTGTGGACATTGTGTACCCATGGTGAATGGCTTTTCAGTGGCTCATCGGACAAGACCATTAAGGTAATGTTTAGATTCGGCTTAGACGATTTAAAGTGCGCGTGATTCCTAGCTGTAGTATCCAACAATGACGTTATTTTGGCTCGTCAAACAATCATTTTTCCATGGTGTTAGGGAGCCCTGTAGTAGCCCGCTACTCCAAGAGCTTCCAATAAAGAATTAAAACCTGTTGTGAAACACGCAAAATTAATTTGTTATTTTTGAGTCGTTGGTCGAACCACGTCTTCGACAATTCAGCATTTTTTGTTCGCTTTCCAAGTTCTTATCCGATAAACTTCTCATTGAAAAAGAGGAAAATCCATGTAACCCGCAGTTTACATTCTTATCTTTCGTGTTTCAAAAGGTTGTAAAGTGCATTTTTTTTTCTCTCTTATGGGAATTTTCTACTTTTGTTTTTGAAGGTGTGGGACACATTGACAACCTACAAATGCGTGAAGACGCTAGAGGGACACAGTGGAATCGTGCTGGCTTTGTGTACACACGAGTAAGTCGCGCTTTGGAAAGTGGCAAAAATGATTCTCTGCTTTTAGCTTTGCGTTTCGTGAGCTATGTAAGTGGCTCACAGAACAAACGTGGCGTGCTCTAGCGAATGGAAGGGATGAAGCGTTTCAGACCAGTCAGGTGTGAAAGCTAAAAGAAATCAACTTTTGGTTTTCGCGACTTTTCCCGCGCCTGCCATAAGTGACGTGTTTTCCTGCGTTTAGAGCACAGCATGTTTTCCCACGCCTTACACCGCTTACAAATTTTTCTGCGCTTGTCAAGGGCTTTCAAGCTTCATCCAGGGGTTCAGTTAGTTGGGGCGCAGCGCGAAAAATGCCGTACACGGCTGAGCAAAACCAACTAACTGAACGCCTAAAAGAGGCTTAGGACTTTCATATTTTCCCGCGATTTCCCCCTGATGTTTCCCGCGCTTACCGTCGCTGGTCAGCTGCTTATTTCTGGATCGAACTCTGATTGGCTCATTACTTTTTCTGCCACGGTGATTGACTGTTTGCCTTATTTCCACCTTACCAACATCTCACCTTCTTTGCCTGTTTTGTGTTACAGCAAAAAGCTCTACAGTGGATCAGCAGACTGCACTATAAACGTACGTGGCTTAGTTATGAGAATATACAGATAATATTCCCGTACCCGATGCAGTCTGTCAGAAAAACTGAAGTTCCGTCATGTCACTGAGCTGAACTGGAAATCCCCTTCTCTTAGGGACGGACCAAGGGTTGGGGTTGGGCAGTTACCGTCAAAAAATCCTGGACAGCAAAAACTGCTGAAAAAAAATCGTGCGACAGGAGCCACGGGGAAAAAAATCGAGCATGTCCTTTCTACTATTTAGGTCCTGTTTTTTGGCATGAAAAAAGTTATTGTACAAGCTTTTGCCCACCAGAAAAAATCATGCACGACGTAAGGGCGAGAAAAAAAATTCATGTCCCGGAAAATTGCCCAAATTAATTGCCCAACAACCTTGGCATTCTCAGTTCTAACTGCCATTAAAATCTCCTCAAATTATCTAGAGAATGTAAACTGTGCGTAAAATGAGTATAACTGAATGTCATGACTTACATGTAAATTCTCTCAACTATTACTATGAGAATTGTATGGAGACGATTTAAGAGAACTTGCATAATGATATCAACGTTTCCGTTTCGATGTCAGGTTTGGTGCCTGGAGGCTCTTGAACTGCTTGACTCTATTCGTGGTCACGAAAACCCGGTCTGTACGTTGGTAACAAAGAGGAACATGCTGTTCAGCGGATCGCTCAAGAAAATCAAGGTATGTAGACTGTTCCACCAGTCTGTGTTCGAGAACTGAAGTCGAATTGCACTGTGCAGGATGGAGGACATTTCAGTTCGAAATATGGTTTCTTTTGTCTTTTCCGTATTTATGTTACTGTGAGTCGTGGGTGTAAAAATGTACGTTTGTGTTTTCAAAAGCAAAGATTCATAACATTTCAAGAACTTGTTCAATGATAGCCTGCAAGCAGGCTCACTTTGGACCACAAGCGCGAGCCGCGTAGCCGTTAGCGCAGAATCGAGCAACGAGCCCGCGAGACGAGAAAGTGCCTCCTCACCAGACTCCACCCCGTCTTATCGCTTCGCTCTTAGCCTCTGGCGCGTGTGACTTAAAGGTGAACTCAAAGGTGAGCCTGGTCGCAGGCTAGTTCAATGATTAAATAGTCGAACTGATCTTTTGCGTCCTCTCCTTGCCAGTTTCCGAGGACGAACGGTATTTAGTTGATGTTTTCACAATCTGTGGTTTTGCCGGTTCCAGGTGTGGAATCTCCAGACCATGGAGCTCATACAGGAATTGACAGGCCTCAATCACTGGGTGCGCGCGTTAGTTGCCTCAGAAAGGCACCTCTTTAGTGGGTCCTATCAGACTATTAAGGTACGTCTTCAGAATGTGCCCAATGCGTATTCAACAAGCAAACAAGATCTTCCTCAGGGCAATTTTGATTTGAATTTGTTGTCATATGTTTTCTGACTCGCCTGCCTACTCAGCACTACATTACTAGTAACACAGTTTTCTGAATGAGACCGATATTTCCTTTGGTTTTTCAGTTATGGGACCTAGACACTCTAGAGTGTGTTCGAGTTCTTCAGACATCTGGAGGCAGTGTATACTCCTTGGCGGTCACCAAGGAGTACATCGTGTGTGGAACATACGAGAACCAAGTTCAGGTAACACATTTAGAGCAGTTTTCACAAATTGTGGGTGTCGAAAAACAAAAACCAAAGCTTTTACCTGTCCAGTCACAAAGGAAGCAGACAATCCGGTGAACCAATCAAAACCTCTTAGCAAATGTGTGTAGGTGACGCTAAGCGCGGGAAAACGTGTTCGAGCGAGTCACGATTGGTTTGATTGGTTGAGAAAGTGGCGCGAGTATTTTTGCACCAATCAGAAAGAGTAGTAATGCAACACCAAGGCCAAACCGCTCTACCCGAACGAACGAAGCAAGTGCACTGTCGGTAAATCTTCGTGGCAGTTTTCAAAGAATTCCGAAAGTTATTGACCAATCAAATTATAGCACGAGTAGTCACGAGCATGCCAAAACCACGGTGCCATACATGTACGGTTTCCATTGGTTTTAGGACTTTGGGCAGAAAATGTTACAAAAATGCATCCGTAAACCAATATAAGAAGGGACAAAACTGATCATTGAGATTCTTCACGAAGCCTTATTTTTGATTAGTAGTTGTCTTAATTTAAAAGCTTGATAAACTTTTCTCTTTCCATAAGGTGTATGATGTCAACACACACAAACATTTGGAGACGCTCAATGGTACGTTGTAATACTTCTTCCTTCAAATAACAAATTTTTCATCGTGTTGCACTTTCATTATTGTTACTGAAAATGTTAGACTGCGAGCAGTCTCTTTCTTTTCCTAGCGTGCGACGCGAAATCTCGAATGCGAAGCACAAGAAGAACGTTCGAGCAGCGAGATGCGCAGGCGCGGAAAGAAACAGATTGCTGTCTCGTCCCTTCTCATATTTTCCCCTAATTTGCATAATTTTTAACTTTTCCAATCGCGCGTAGGATTTCGGGAACAAAAACCAGCTGCTCGTAGTCGGTGGAAAAGTTGACATTTTTCCAGTTTGGGGCATTCCGCTCTATCTCTGCCGCCGTCAAAACATTCCGGTCCAGGTTATTGTTGTTGGTTATGTACGTTGTTTCACAGGTTTTCGTAGAGAAGACTTGATGGCCCACATTTGAAAACAGGGAAAACGTCGCTCAAAACATTCTTTTATGGAAATCCGATGTCAGATTTCTTTGCAAAAGTGAATTTCTGAACAGTTCATTAACCTAGCGATACCTGAAAAACGATTTTCCTGATAGAATTGAGGCTTGGAAATTCGCAAATAACAGTATTGAAGTGCCATGAAAATGCGACTGTATACTTACCGCTTCATCTATTTACCTCAAATGTGGTCAATAATTTGTTTCAATCTCCAGATTTCTTTAGTTTGAAAACGTTGAACATTTCCAATCTATAATATTTCGGAAATTGTGTGAGGTACAGTTTTACAACCTTTTAACTATCCATGTGGTTGGCCAAATTTCACCGTCACCGTCGTCAAATTATCAGCTCTCTTTCAGCAAAGTCGCGAACGCCTTCGACAGTTATTTCCAGTTCACTGTAAAATGGGATGTTTACGAGACATTTAAAATGTTGCGAGAAAAAGGAAAATTATACCCCTTTTGATGCGTTTATTGACTTGCTTACACTAATGGCCGTCCGTTTTCTGTTCTGTAACACCCTAAATTATCGAAATGTTTTTATCTGTTGTATTATAGGACACATCATGCAAAATACAGCGAAATGAAACTGTATTGCCAACTATTTTACAACACTTCATTTTATCCTTAGCCGTCATTCTGTTAAATAACATTTCGCCGAAGGTTTAGTTGTTCGAAAACGTCACTCTTTTACAGTCATCCCTTCGGCAACCTTTATTTCGCTCCTTCCGCCATCATTCGCCGGGTTGTGGAAGAACTCTTTACAAGACATAGTTCGCCTGTTACTTTGTTCCATATCGCTCGTCGTATCATTTGGAGTATGTTCTTAACCGAACGCCTGTACTGTTCGCGCAAGTTCTCATTTGCTCGGCGAACTGGCTCTGCATTTTCTGTTTATTTTGCTTCTCGTTTGCTGTTGACAGTGGTAGTTTATTTTCGCGTTCACTGATCAACAAAATGCCATCTTCTGCCGCTAGTCCGCTCGGCGTTGTTCTTTTCGATCGTGTGGAAGAATGCGACATTCTAATTTGCGTTTTTCGGTGGTGTTTTGAATCAGTTTAAAACATACGTTCTCTTATTCCAAGCGAGGTTTGGATGTGGCTTTTTCGAGCGATTCCTCAGCGATTTGAATTCTCTTATCATTGTTGTGTCGCCGTGAAATAAGCAACAGCTTAATTACATGAGCGATTGAAAATTATCTGTGCGGTTGGCCGGGCCTTACAGAATTTTTAAAAACTAGATTTTTATATCGTGTTTTCAAGCAGTACATCAACATCACTTTAATTCCAAAACAATTTATTTCGGTTTTTGCTCAAACAAAATTGAGTTTCGACCTGTTTCTGCATTTGAGCATGAAACGAAACAACATTACAAGATAATATATTTTATGATGGCAATATCTTATTTGCTTCATCGATACTCTTGTCACTGATCTAAAGACGATCTTCGCCAGAATCTATGGTTCCTACGGTTAGTGTTTGGAAGCAGTGACTCGTTTTGAAGGACGAACGCTTAACATACACTTGCGATACAAACTGCATCTTGAAATAGGAGCGCTTAACATACATATTTGCTAGCGAACGAGCAGTCAAACTGCTCATTAAAAAAAAAAATTCATTGCATTGTTTTCGCATTCTATTCAGTTTCATCGTCAAGAAGTGATTTCAAAAAAAAATAATAATAATCACATCAAGGGAAACAGACTTGGTACCTGTGTATGTGTCCAACGTTTTTGTATTTATTTCGGGTCACTCTGCCCGCTGTTATTTCCCTGTTGGTCGTTATTTTTCATTCTGTCGAACAATATTTCATAGAAATCCAGGGGTTTGAAGATGTCGATCACAAGCGCACTGATCTCTTCCTCGGACAATTTCTTGGCATTTTCAGTCAGGGAGGCGCTGTGATTTTGGATGAAGTAGTGGGCACTTCTTGTGGACATGACTGTATGCGATGAACTTCGTTGCCTTCCACTCGGGCCAAGATCGGTATTGGTGTTTATCTTGTCTACGACTTTGATAGCTGGTTCGCTCGAAGACTTTTGCCTTTGAAGCTGTGGATGTTCCTGTTTTGAACTGACAGCAGTTTTCGTTGATGGATGTGTAGTTTGTGCCCTGGCTCTCGACTCCGCTGGAATCTCCCTCTTCTTGTTCCAGTGCTCCTCGTTCATAGCCGATTTCTCTTCCATTTCTCGTTTTCTCTTCCTCTTTTCTTTCTTCACGGAGCTGCGATAGCTGTAGCAAGTCGAAGGCCTTTCTTGTTTGCCGCGTGTTATATAACACGAAGTGTCACGTGTGTTTGACTTCTCAACTACGCAGTAAATGGAAAACAGCCCACAGTGAATGAGAAAAACAACTCCTTTAAAGGCTATGGGTAGCGTGGCGTGTAACTCAAACACGTTTTACGTGTTTAACTCGTGCGTTTTTCACGTGTCGCGCACGTGTTGTGCACTCTTTACGCGTTTGGGAGGAAACTACTACCTTTCCTCTTGTAACTTGTGTGCGGTCAGGCCGAGTGTTTTCGAGCTCTCTGAAATTTGAAATAAGCTCCCCGTGTGCTTTACCGAGGCGAGGCAGTAATCTACACGTGGTCAACGTATGTTTTTTTTGTCTTGGCAGGTCACGTGGGTACTGTATATGGTCTCGCTGTGCTGAGTGCTCCAGGACAGACCCGTTTATTCAGTGCTTCTTATGACAGATCACTCAGGGTAATTTGAAAAAGTTATTCTTGTTTTAATGGAGTGGTTTCACGGCTCGTTTTTGTAAGTTGTAGCATTGACTTGTTTGCTTATGTAACAATCAAAACGAGCTGACGATTTGTGGAGGAAATTTTACTGTGAAATTTTCCTGGACAGTTGCGAAAACTCTGTGATACAGGTAGTAATTCTCATGAGAATTCTTTTCATCTTCCGACTGCCAAGCACCATACAATTCATTTGTTTATGAACCAATCGGGTGCGAGTAGATAATCCTGCATGTGTCCGGAACAGCCATTAGCCGGAGTAATAAATTCATAGTTTAGGAAATTATGATGGAGATGATTGCGTGACTGACAGATAAGTAACACAAGTCAGCTACACTCTTTGACTAGAATCTTCTTTCCTAGGTCTGGAATTTGGAGAGCTTCACTTGTGTCCAGACTCTACTCCGCCATCAAGGGAGCGTGGCCGCTCTGGCTGTCACAAAAGGAAGAATATTTTCTGGAGCTGTGGACAGTACAGTGAAAGTAAGCTATTCACATCTCTTAGCCCATAGTTAATGGAGGGGAATGGTTATGAAACCCGACAAAGTTCTTTGCTGTATGTTTTTGTTCGCTTGTTTGGCCTTGACTGTGCACAAAACACAATAGTTGTTTACTCCGGACTGAGGAACTAACCATTAGAAACGTTTTGGTTACGTAATTTATTCATAGTGTATGAGCGCAAAACAAAAGGTTGTGCACGGTCGTGGACCTTCCAACATAAATCTTGAAATCTTTGTTTGCTCCTTTGATGTTTGCCGGACTTCATAACGAGTCCCCTCTATTAATTATGCTTAGCCCTAATGATTGTAACTCAGCCTGCCGGGATCGGTCCTCCACCGAAAAGGAGATTGTTCCTCCTGTGATGTACTTTAATTACTGGTGTCATTGTGTTTGTGTGCCATTAGGGACCTTAAGCAAACTACGACAACAACGGCAACGACAGCGAAAACACCACCAAACAAACGGTTTAACGAGCGAAACAATGGCTGTACACGTGCGTTATAAATCTTTGTACATTTCTTTGCCGTCCTCTGCAAAACAACAACGTGAAATGACTAAGTTCTCCGTATTTTAGAGAATGTGAACGACAGCGGCTAATGTTTCGTATTTATATGAAATTCAACGCTGGCATTGCATATTAAGCTCAAGTAACTTCTGAGACCGATACGCGTACTGAACAGATCTGGATGATTGCGAAATTCAAAGGTGAATTATAAATCCTTGTTTTACTAGGCATCGTCCTTGGCGTCGCCGTCGTCATTGCTTAAAGGTCTCTAATATCAGGCATACAACTTGATGGTCGTAAAGTTACTATTGAAAGAAAGGATATATATGGCGTGATACTTCTTCTTCTTCGGCTTGAAGTAAGGCTTTTGTAATTTATGCTGATTTGAAATTCTTCTTTTGTGTCTCCCAGGTTTGGCAGTGAAGTGAAATTGAAGCTATTTGACCAAGCGAAATTCAAGGCTCCCCAGGCTGTCATGAGTTGTTGGCGTGGGTTTTGCCTTCGGTGAACATTCTTCTAAGACGACTTCAAAGAGGACCAATGAGATATACCTCTGAAAATGTGAACATGGAGGTGTACTAGTGGCTGGCAATAAGACAAAGTGTGAATATTACTGTCGTTGAAAGCTTTTTCTATGCTAGAGACAAAATGAAAAAGACGAATTACTCAACCTAAGTTGACGATCACGTTCCTCACAAAGTGGATTGTAATCATAACAGACATCAGGATACTGGAATTTCTAACGCATGTGTGGAATGTGAAGCCCCAGCCAAACGATCGCAACATTTAAACGCAACACATCGAAACATTGTTGGGCGAAACATGTTGCACGTGTTTGGCCACCCTGTTGGGACGTGTTGCGCCATGTTGGGTATTGAAAATTGAACTAGTGCGCATGCCCTGGCGCAACATTGTTGCACGAACCTGGCCAAACGACTACAACCTCATACAACATCCACAAATGTTGCATGAAAAATTTGACCATTTTCAAATTTGAGCCAACAACACCCAACATGCCGCAACATGTCGCAACAGGGTGGCCAAACGCGCGCAACATGCTGCGCCCAAGAACGTCGCGATATGTTGGGTTGAAATGTTGTGATCGTTTGGCCGGGGCTTGACCAAAACATGTTTACATGTTTTTGTTTCTCGCTTTTGTTTGCGCTTGTTTGCTTTCTCGCTCAGCAATCAACGAAAGAGAAGTGGGCTTTGCTATTAACTTAGAACTACGTGATCGAGCTCTAGTAGAATAGTCGACTTGGCATTACCTAAGAGAAACAGAGCTTATTCTCAGTCTATCGTCACTCACTCAGGGACCCGTATAAAGACAGAACCTGGGCACGAGAACTTTGCGAACAATTTGCGGGCAAGTTGATATTTTGGATCATTCTCGATCGAGTTTCAATCAAGAACTGAATGTCAAATCAGAAAATATGCGTTCTCTATGGGGTTTGTTATTTCTTGCGGCAGTTTTTTTGTGTCAACAGCAGAACTGACGATGATAAAATAATTAAAATGACTTTGTAATTTTCTTTCTTTATTTGGCATCAAACTTGCGTCACAATCAATCTCAGTGTTCTTTTCTTTTCTTTTTCGTGTATTATTTTTTGCCAAAAGTTGATTGTCAGAGTTGCAACTCTTTTTGCAAGGTTATTTTGGCCTTTCATTTACGCCATATGTATATACCAAGTTGTGAAGACTTGTAAATAATATATCTCGTTCAAGTGTAATATATATATATGAAAGAAAACATTTGGCTCTCTTAATTAAACAGCAGAGAAATTTACCAGACTAGTGGAGGGAATATGTAACTTCTTCAACTCTACCCTATTCTAGTCTGGTCTTCCCTAGTCTAGTTTGGTCTATTTTAGTCTAGTCTACACTAGTCTAGTCTGGTTTATTTTAGTCTAGTCTAATCTGGTCTGTTTTAGTATTTAGCTCTTATTAACCGAGCTGGAGGTCTGTATGGGAGAATCTTGACCGAGGTCGTGAGTACAGACCGAACGCAGTGAGGTCTGTACACCGACCGGTTAATAAAATGTTTATTACATGGCAAAGAAGAAAACTTTAATTCGTTTAATGTAACTGGTTTGCTAACATTTTGCTTGCGAACGGCGATGAGCTTAACTTAAACCTG